ATTTATTTCAGTTGTACCCATAACACAAGGTTGCTAACGGTGCTGTGTGAATTGTCCAGGGTTATTTATTTATATTTATTTAATATATATATCAAGAATGTGTATTAAGAATAAATGTTATTATTAATGTATATTTGGCATAAAATGTTGGCGGAGATACTAAGGTTCTACATTAGGGAAGCAGAAGCTCGTATTGATTGATTGATTGGCTTCTAAACCATTCTATTTTATTTTTTAATTGAGGGTTTTGGTCTATTGTCAGAAGATCTGTAGTCGCAGTGCCTGCAAATATAGATCTATTGTGCTCACTGTTTATCAAAGCTCGTTACTTAGACCCGCCAGTAACGAGAATTGACAGATGTTCTTAGGAGCTATAGTTTTTAAATTATATATATTTATATAATGACCAACAGAACTGAATCATTGATGTGTAGGATTCATAGACGTTTCCTAATTCTTATTACACCAGGAATGCATCAATTTAAATTAATATTATTTAAATTTCAGTGAGTTGTCGTCCTTCTTCAAAATAAATTTGATAAGCAAGTTGGAACTCTCGGGAAGCGTCTCGAACAACAATAAAAGGTAGTGTATATTTTGTATGCATATAAGTATAATACTGTTTATTGCCTTCAATAAAAAGAGTGGTATATATTAGGATATCCTTTCTAGTAATATTTTTATTATATAAATAAGTTTTCTAATTAAGACAATTTCCTTTCTTGTTTTTAATCTTTAATTACCCTACCTATTTCTACTGTCGACATTTCAGATTTAGAAAGTTCAGCACTTCGAGAGTTTCCGTTAGATTTTTACCTCAACCAACAGACGACAGTTTTTAGGTTTCAAACTGGAGTATACGCAAAACCTATGCCTTTTTTATGTGACTGGGATGGGAAATAAGCTGGCGGTACACCTAATCATAAGTGGCAACTATTCCTATATATGTATATATATATATAATATATGAACATTAGAATATATATTTATATGAACGTTACAGACGTAACATTATGTCTATGTTCTCATATGTATTATTGTTACGATGTTGTGTTTCCGTTATGTGATACCCGCTATACCACTCATGCATTGTCATTCCAGAAGACTCAAGATGTCGTGCCTATATCCTACTTGCATGTTTGGTGGCAGGAATAAGGGCGATGTCTTATGTGTAGGGTAGTATTAAGGCGGTGGATGGTGATTGATTTCTTTTTCAATAAACGGCAACCGACCGTGTTGTTTCACTGACGCTGCACCTTATATACTTGCCACATCTTTCTGCTACCACGAAGTCTACTTTGTGCAAAGTCTACATCGGTGCCACGTACCATTTTTTTTTTCAGATTCAATGAGAGGAGATATCACTTGATGATATGAAGATTATGTGGAGTACTGAAGTAACCAATACAAATACCGGTATGTATGCTTTTCACAGATTAAAGGAGCTGGTTGTCGTTACATATTCTTAACACTGTAGAATATTCGGCAGCTGTTATCGGTTATCATAAGCGGTGGCCATAGGATCAAAGAAGGCTCTGTCAAGACTCGATACCTTTGTTATACGTAATGTTAATTAATTATTCTCATTACAATATTTTAGCTTAGATTCAATTCCCCTTTTCCGTCTACGAACTGCTGACGATCTCATCCAGCTTTTTAGTTCTGATGTATTTAACTCTTTATTATATACTCTTAAAGTCTTCTTCTTCGGTTCAATGACAACTAAATGTTTTCCCCAGATGTTCAGACTACTTTTACGCATTCGAGCACATTTTTTAGATGCTTTTTGTACAGGATGATGGCCACAGAAGACCGGAGAACCGCATCGAATTTAAAAAATGTGTTGCAATAAGTTTTATTTCAAGCAATTGAATATATAACTTTTGTAACAATGTTCGCCCATATTAATAGTAATTGTTTTTCCAGAAAAAAAGGGTTAAAAGTATTTATATAATACTTTTAACTCGATTCTATTGTACATAAACAAACATTAAAGTATTATGAATAACTAGTATACGCACAGGTGGTGTATACTAAAATTATTTCCTACGAAATGTTAATTCAAAAGAAGGCAGTATATTAATAAGGGCGCTGAGGACCCGATCCGAAATGTCTTGCAATTCGCGGTACAATTGGACTACAGCTTTTCACAAGTTACTTCGCATGTATATATCTGTTAATTGTATGAGGTTTTGGCGATTTTATATACCACATTTGTGAGACATCGTATATAGTCTTAATCTCACGTGAGTTTATTCATAATACGTATTTTAATGTAAATAAGTAGGTTAATCTGTGCATGAATGTGTTGACTATATTTTTTCAAAATTCTCTATTATTTTTATTGAAGACCAGTTATGTTTTCGATAACCAGCAAAAAAGAATCGTATTATTTTTAGAAACTATAACCATCCCCCACGTGAGATTGGGACAGCTTAAGGTCGACCTCTCTCCCCCTAAATGTTCCATATAATTAATGCATGCACGGCCTATGTCCTGCTTCATGGTGGTGGTGCTGTAAATAATATACCTGACATTGTCGTGGCCGGAGTTGCAGCACTCAGCAAAAAGTTTGCGTCAGTGACTTCAGTGCCACAATGATGCCGATTGGTCCGCTACGCTGTAGGGACTATGTTTTGTTGTCATTATTAGCATATGCTGCTGTATTCATTAGTGTCCTGGTAGCTATGGAATCTAAATTGGCTGGCAAAAAAAATCCTCCAGCGCAGCAGCAGTATCTCGCGGACTGTGCGTGGTGATTTTGCGGCAACAACCTATCACAGTTCAGTGTAGACGGCGATCTCGCAGATATAGCAATCACCGTGAACACGTCCAGGGATGCTCCACGGCGCGTGATCACATCAAAGGCATACAAAGGTGAGCTAGATAATGTAAGTGAATCGCGAACTGCAATTAATAATATTATAGCCAGGTTTTCTACGTTGATCACCCTTATATTACAGAGAGACGTGTAGAACAGCATCTTCGCATTCGCCATATCATCATAATTTGAACTTGCGTATTTCAAACTTCATCCATTACGTACATTTTTTCCACCAAGAACGCAACGAGGTTGGTTGCCTAAAATTTCTCTAACATACAATGAAGACTAGTACGCTTTTTATTATTGATTTATATTTTTATATGTACTTTTTTAGATGTAAATCGTATAAAAAATATGCGAATGAGATATGACTTTGTCCTTATTGTTTTTTTTTTTAACTCTTTAAGGTCATCGTAGGAGCAACGAACATTAAATTCTGACAACTGTGTATTTTTTATTTTACGTATAAATATTTTTTCTAATTCCACTGAAACTGCAATTGATGGCCCTGATGGAAGTTTCTATACGGGCATTAATTGTAAATTGTTGGTTGGCGACCCCACCTACATTTTGTTTATGATACAACTATTTGGTTCATATAGTTAAATTAACGAATGCAATAAATAGAAAATCTGTTTTTTTTAATTCAATAATAAAAATAATAAAAACCAATTACAACCAACCATCGACATTTGGAATTGACTTCAAAGTTTACTGGTACATCTATATCAGTGGTCAAGGAACTAGTTTGTGAACCGGTTTTGAATAGGAGAATCAAGCGGTATCAAGTCACTTGCAATTATGATAGTTGCCATACCATCAGGTGGGCTAGGCATCCCAAACCCTACAATTTTCATCAAATGATATTCTTTTTCTGTTAGAAGAAAATTACAATGCCTAAAAAATTTTTAATAATGTATATTTCATAAACACCGCTATCTTTTTACAGTCGCCATTCCTACCGAGCATTACAATTGTATTAAAGTATCTATATTAAATAAATATCCGTTATCATGAAGCATAAAATTATAAGTATAATATCTATACACATAGATTGAGGATTATATAAGTACGTATATAGTTTTATTACTTGGCAATTGATATCAAGTTTGTGTTTTAATGATGGCATTCACACAGATGGCACCACCGTATTATAACGTAGTGTGATAAGGCATCGGCTAAATATTTTTTTTAATCGTGTAAAGGCGACGTGGTAATATTGTTGAAATATATAATATACAAAACAAATCTATTTCTATAGGATCTAATAAATATTTTAAAAAATATTAATAACATTAAACAAAAAATTAGTCTATTAAAACATTTTACTGTTTTCATATGTTCAAACATTAAAATATCACTGTTTAAAAATGACAATATACCTACACTACAATCTGTCAGTCAAATATGTAATGATTATAAGTTATTTTGTCTACAAAAATCACTCAAATACTTTGTTGCAATGTTTAAGAACCAAAATGAGCTAATATACGAGAAATTAACATTTTTTATTTCTTTGGACAAGTCTAAATATTTTAAGGTTGGCAACTCTGGTTTGGACTGCTTTTAAATACTAAACATGATTATTATTTAAAGCCATAGATGGTACCAACTTTTCTGTTAGCAAATTATTTGATATTAAATATTTCGTCTTATATATTCCTATTACAGAAAAACAGAGACAATGTTGCCAGAGTAGAAAAATACAACTACGTTTTATGGCAAATGCAATATTCCTATTTTCTCCTTATTCGGAAACACTAGTCAATAGAATGTTACTTTCTAGAATGTTATAAAATATAATTTTCATTATTGAAAAGCTAAGCGACCACAATGACAATTAAACTAGTAGGTAATCATCTTCCTTTATTTTGAAGGCTTTTTAATGGTCTAATATGCGGCAGGAAGGTGGGGGACCCACATGAAGTTAGCCATAATGGTTCATCAGGAAATTAATTTACCAGATTCGAATCTCCGTTAAGTAGGGAGATCTTTAGTTTTTTTGACAGCTTTTCTTTAGTATATACTGGAGCATAAGTAATTGATCAGTAGAGTAGATATAACATGACTGCATAAAGTGGGGGGTATCATCACTATGCATTAATTTCTACTGAATATTTAGTCATCCTCAAGCAATACTGCATTATATCATATATAATAACACACTTTATTTAAATAAAAGAAAATAATATTTATTCTCTTTACACATTCAGTGGAATATACACAACCTAGTTACAATGCAAACTCTTAAAATATAAAAGACACATATTTTACAATAAATATTCTGGTAATTCAGTGATTAAAATTTTATTGATCACTGATGTACTTTCAATGTCATGATTAAAATTTGATTATTGCTTCATTTATTATGGACAAATAACTTATATTACACTAAGCATAACATGGAAAATTCTAGATATCAATGCAGCTATAATAAATAAGTCATGCAATAATTTTATTTAACTTGAGGTGAAGTAGTTACATTTATCTTGGGACACAGGTCAGATTGGGTGGCCTATCTTATCACACTTATCAACAACCAAGTACTTACAACAATATCAACCTACAACCTACAGTCATCTGAAACCAATCACCTGTACTTTTATACAATAACTTAATGATTTAAAGCTTGCTTATATTTTATAGGTACATAGAAGACATTCCTGTCACGGATTGGGATACTTAACAGAACTAATTACACTATATTGACTACTTACACTATATTAACTAATTTAATTAACTATCTGTATACCACTGCTCTCAAAGGCATTTTTAACATATTTAAAGACTTCATTTGGTGCCACTTCAGCATTGATCTTGCGTACAAGCCCTTTTTGGTCATAATATTCTATTATTGGCATAGTATCTTTTAAATAAGTATTGAATCTCTTATGGAGACTTTCTGGGTTGTCATCAGAGCGACCGCTGCCTGCGGCGCCTCGCCCTAAGCACCTCTCTGTGCACAATTCTTTCGAGCATTCAAAGAAGAGAACAAACAAAAGCTTCGTCTTATCTGACATTTCACGATTCCAACCCTCCAAGTTATCTTTGTTTCGCGGAAATCCATCGATCAGGAAACGCGTCTTACCGGACTTTTGCATCGCCTTGTGTAACAAAGAGCATGTAACCTCGACAGGTACGATTTCGCCGTTGCGAATTTTCTGCTCAATCATTTCTCCATACTCTGAACCCGGTCGCTGACGCTCCTCACGAAGTAAATCTCCAGCAGAAAGGTGTACAAAGTCGTATTCTTTGGAAATTAATGAGCACTGTGTACCTTTACCGGCACCGGGCGCTCCAAGCACGAAAACAACTTCTGGAACCATTTTATTAAAATATCTAGCAACTTGACACAACACACGACTCAACATCAATCTACTGTACTAAACTAATTAATTGTTCGAATGGATTTTTATTATTTTATCCATGCGCACAAGTAAGACCTTGGAATGAACGTAGTCGTGTCGTATGAACTGCCAATGTCAAGTGTCAGTTTTGGATTCTTATTCATGACTGACAGTTGATTCATGTCATTGCTACCAACATCAGCAGGAAATGAATGATTATTGAGTACCTACCAGTGATTGCGACAGAAGTGAATGTAAAATTTTTAAATTTTCAATGTTTCAACGTTTGAAATGCGTTACTTTCAGATTTTTTCTCCAAAACAAGAGCTAACCCCAAAACTCGCTTTGTAAAATATTTAATGAGTATGGTGTACATATAATATAATTAGTAGTTGGCAGAAACGGGGTATATTAGTAATGGGAACTAACGATTCCATTACTTGCAATATATACCGCCATATGGGAACCGCATAGGATTATTTGATAACTGGAAATAATTGCAAGTACGCAATAAAATTACGATATAAATCGTACATAGGTATTTTTAGGTATTCGTTCTACGAAATATTGGTGTTGTTTTTTATTCTATTCAGAAACCTTCCGTTTAAATTTTGTTCCTGTCTACTTTACTGAATTGTTACAGTAAATAGTTTTTTTTAGTTTTACTGAAAATTCTTAAACTGCCTTGGATTTCTCATACCAATTAACTAAAGATAAAGCCTACCTTTATTGGCGAAAATCTAATTTTTCAGTTAAAACACCTTATTTAAAATCTGACTAGCATGAAAAACTAATGAGTTGCATTATCCTATGGAGAACATATCTTCTGTATTAATCAAACATGTTTTGCAGAGGAATCGAGGGCATGCATTTTTAATACCTAATTATACCACGTGTGCTGTAGTAGTGCGGGTGACAGTTTCATTAACGTTTTGTTTCACTCTTAAAAGTTGCCACGATTTACGAATTATGACTTAGTATTTCAGCTGTACCACATTCGTAATATCGTCGGTTAAATAGATAAATGGCACAATCGAAATGTACCTTTTTACAGACAAAAAGTTATTAAATTTATTTTTCCTTTAAAATTTTAACAAAAAATTACACAAGTATTATATATAATTTTAAAATTACGCCGCGGCGTGGTTAATTTAATTGACTTATATAAAAGGAAGCAATTCTAGCTTCCAATTTTGAAAAATGTCATTTTTCTATTTAATCGACGATATATTAAATCACTAAAAACTGTATTAACGTAAATATTGTAACAATTATTAAATGTAAAATTAGTAACTGTCACCCTCACCATGCTACAGCGCACACAGTATAATGAATCACGTTGGTCTAACTTAGCAGATTCCATTCTATCATCATTCCATGATGCCCGCTAGCGTATACTGATAGCTGAGGCGTGCTTATTTTATTTATTTAACTTCAATGCACACAATATACAAAATATAGTAAAGTACATTTGGCGGACTTAACACCATGCGGCATTTTCTACCAGTCGACCATTGGTGGTGCAGAGAGTAAATGTTGGCGGTGCAAATATAATAAATGATAAATAAAAAGCAACAAAATATAAACAGAATGATAAATACAATATATATCTAAGAAATACAATCATAAATTACATAAATATATGCAAATATTATATTATACATATATACAAATAATTATATACACATATATATATATATAATAAATATATACTAGATACTCAATAGTCTGACAGTCACAGAACCATAGAGAGTAGAATGGAAAAATAGTGAAAGAAAGAGAAATAGAAGAGTAGTAAAAAGTTACAAATTGAGATAAAGTTCCCGTAGTTTATGTTTAAAAGAAATTTTATACCATTAACTGTATATAAAAATGAATCAGTAGTCCAATGTCACAATACATAAGTATACATTGAAAAGTAACAAAATTATTCCCTTCTCTTATCGATTGTTAGCCAGTTTTGTAACCGGCCAATATCACCACTTCAGCTGACAATTTGATGAGCGACATCAGGTACTTTGCATTAAAAGGAGATTATAATTTATCAAAATTTAAAACACCAAATTAAATATTCATGTAAATTTATTCATTCTTAAATATAACAAGCAATTTGTAAATATACAAACATTTACACGGTCTCCATGATGTCTTATCCGGAAATTACCTGAAAATAAAAATTACCCATTTTAAAAATTTGTACACTGCGATAAAATGTATTTCTTAGACGAATAAAAATCAGATACAAATAATCTGTCCTCAAAAACATTCAGAACAGGTCTGTGATATGATCATCATTAGAACAATTTTCATGAATTTATTTAACAGCAAATAATGCCAGTATTGGACCGTTTGCTGTTAAATGACATTTTTATCCTGCTGATATAAGCAGGGTACAAATATCGATCGAATTGGGCAAGGCATAAAATATTGACTGCAACATTAAGCGTCACTTCTTGTCAATGGTGTTGTGTTATTAGATAAATATTTATTTACATTTCTTCTATGCTCATACTATTGAATATCAAACTTTATTTCCTGTTGATTTAAATTTGACTTAATCAATCGTTATGCATTGTAACCATCTCAGTGATTTTCATGACAATTCACAAACAAACAGACAGACACATAATATATGGTAATATGAATTTAATAAACAATTCGAAATTATATGATTGAACCTGATATCTTACCACAAATCCCATTGCGCATTCCAGTGTACAACTAGTGTCGTAACTTCATATTTCAGTTTTGCATCAATAGTCTGGTATCTATAACAAATAGTACATATTAGAATAATGTAAAATATACTACATTCCATTATTAAACGTTTATTATTCAGTCCTGTTGAGCTTGTAACACCGTCATGGTGGCATCAGGGCGGAGTTTATCATCATAAAATTAATAAGTAAATAACATAACATAGAGATTCTTGATAGTCATGCTTCTGTACAGTGTATTTATTCTATATCGTTTTCCGACGTTGTTATTAAATAGAAATATATACATATTATTGCAACAACCATACGATTGTACCATCTAACGAGAAAACCTAAGTTAATTTTTTTTTAAATACACCAATGACAACAATAACAACAATATAATCAACTTGTACTAAATTATTAAGTCGGTCGTAGTCATTATATATTCAATGCCAAATAATAAAAAACAAACACTTAAATATATAGAACTAGATCTCGATGAAGCCGGATGGCGTTGCCGGGTTAATATATATAATATTAAACACAATTATATAGTAATATATTATATAACTAACTTTATTAGTCATTATCAATCTGGAAGAGTATCTTTCGAATTGTGTAATAGATTTCTAAAACCGGTGCAGTTTAAGGATTCTATTACATTATTTGGTCCCAGAATCTACTGTCCTCATAACAAAATGTTTTTCCTCTTTACAATATTAATATTGGTAGAAGTTGAAGTTACATTACTTTACTTACCGTAATTACAGGTCTCATGATTCTCTGCATTTTCTACCTTGTCCACAGACTGCAGACAAAATATAAAATATATATGAATACAATAATTCATAAAGTCAATTGTTTCTTATTAATCACAATAAATTCAGTCCTGTTGAGCTTATAAAACCGTCATGATGGCATCAGGTTATAGTTTTATCATCATGGATAAGTTGTACTAGCGTTATAATTCATGCTCGAGCAGATATACTAGTAAACTACACGATTACTCTGTAGTAAGTAGAACTTATCACAAATTATTTTTACTTATTTCTAATTTTATATAAATGGAAATTATAGCTTTTCCACTAATGATTAAGTAACACATAAATACGTGCTTATGTTGTCAGATTTGAAACTAATCTTTAAAAGAAATAAACTCGCTACGGTAACAGTGGCAATAAAGAAATACTTCTCTCTTTTATTAATTACTAGCTTCCCCCGCACCGAATACATGTATTATACATAAAAATCTTCCTCCTCTTGAATTACTCTGTTGCTGAAAACTGCATTAAAATCCGTTGCATAGTTTGAAGAAGTAAGCGCACATACAGCACTTTAGATGTGCGACTTTATTTTATACTATGTAAAGATTTAACTTTAAATGAAAACCTAATTATATTTGCAAATTGAAATGTTTTTTCTGCATATTCACTGTCATCATTAAATAAACGTAGCTAACATAAACTTCCTAAGATAAAAATGCAGTTAATAAGGTCTAAAAAAGAAGATACCCGAAATATATAATGAAAAATATTTACCTTTTTCATAATATCACTCCATTTGCAACCTGTAAACAAATTAGGACTTATAAAATATGTACAACAAATCAAAATATAAAATTAGAAATTAATTAATTCAGAGAACTAATATAGTTTCCTCATATCGTCAGAACAGGTCTGTGTATTTGTCATCATTTTATATTTCAAATTTTTGTATTCCTCCATTTCTAATTAAAACTGGTGTACTTTATAAAAGACATACAAATTTTTAAATGAATCAATATCTTACCTAACTAGTCAAATGGCAAAATTGATAGATAGTGATGAAATACAGGTGTTACTGTGTACATACTTTCATATTCATGATAATATGATATAAAAACTTCCTAATATTGTTAATATGTATGACGGATAAGACACCAAAACAGAATTGAATGAAAATATAAATTTTGAAGCATTTCCACACGAAAATGTTATTATAATTTTAGTATTTTTACATAACTCATCTCTGTAATCAATAACGGGTACAGGTAATAACTTTCTTTAGTTAATATTTTTAACAGTGAATAATATCTTACCTGAATTAAGGCGCAAGACTTCCATGATACGATGTCCATATACTGTAAAAAATATATATGTATACAGTAATTTGAAACAATATGTATAAACAATACAATTTTATTAAGTGTAGCAGTACTATTGGTAGATTTATAAATCTTACAGAAAAATAATTCGAAGTTAAAAATTTATCCAAAGATAAAATACGCGTTTTGCAATAACAACTTCTGACATAGTCCTAAAATATTTTGAGTAAAATGTCATAAATAATTTAGAAAATTTAGTTTACAATTAAACCAAAACTAAAATAATCCACCAATACACTGCCACACAAGTTGTGTATACAGAGGCTATGCAAGTAAAACGATTGTTTTTTATATTTTTTGCAACCCCCTTACAATCCTTTTTTTTCACATTCAAAAGTACCCTATATTCTTTGACCTGTGTACGTTTTGGAGCGTAAGACGGCCTACGTGACTATTTTAGTCACTGTAAACACAACTTCATATAACAAATATTATAAATACACACTCACCTTCTTAAAACATAAATCTACAATCTAACCTACCCTGAGCAAAATTAAACAATGCAATTTACAATAGAAAAATTATAATTTAAAAATTAATTACAGTATAAAGTAAAGAAGTACTTCTGTCTCACGTCCGTCTATATATTAACAATATCTCCGCCGTGGGGGAAGCAATATAAATATTACGACACTATCAACATACAAGTATCACCAGGTATAATAATATTAACAATGCATATCGACCAGCAATATTTTATTGTGTTCGTAGCGCTCGCCTGCTTACATAATATATAAATATATATCAATTGAAAACTGCTCTGTGTAAAAACAAATTATAAGTAATAAACAATAATATGGTACGCGTGAGGCGCTGAAATGTTATGTTACAGTATCGATTGTATTAGCTATTGCATTTATAATTTTGTCTCGCAATCGGCCAATTTCAGGTTTAAAATAAAACAATCCAATTTCAGGTTTAAAGAAAAAACATTGAGCTGAAAACAATATTTTCACTAAACGTTAAATCTGGGAGACCCTCCTTCAGTCCTTTCCGTTTCCTTGTGTCCTGTAACAAACAAATAAGAAAAATTATCAATTAATAGAAATTATATATCATTAGAAAAGGGTACGGTTGAAAACCAGCGCCGCACAGGAGCATCCTGTCGGGATACGCTGCAGGGTCCTTTTGCTGCCTTTAATCAAGTAGCCTTTAAACATGTTTTCTTTTATGTAATTTGATTGGCAACAATAAATGATCCTTATTCTATTCTTAATAAATACAAATATATGTAATATTCTAAGTTACTCATATTGATTATGGTTTTATTTAAACAACCTCACTTGATAAATAGTGATAATATCTTCAAACGTGTTAAGATAACATTTTATATGTCGGTATATAGTAAATATATGTACATATATTTAAGTAGCAGTTGTTTACGAAGTTATCTCTAATTTCCCCAAATACATAATTGTATCGCAGGCGCCGTAGCGTGCAGTACTGGGACATAAGGATAGAGGTCCTGTGCAGCGTTTGGACGTCCGCGAAAGTATCATCTCCGTCCTGACAACACCCGACACAGTCCGCGCGCGCGTGGCAGCTACGCCACCATGCGCGCTATGGTGCGGTACGGTAAGTACAGGACAGTATTAAACCATAGTAATAAACTAGGTACTGATATATGACCACAAGTATCATTTGTGACGAAATAAATTACTGGAACATATGAGACCCAAAATATAGCTGAATTACAATTAAATATATTTCCAGTATTGTAGATTTATATATTGTATATATAGTATTGTAGTTCCAAACTAAGCAAGGCTAGTACTATAAATACTACATTATATAACTGTTATAAGCAAATAAACTATAAATTTTAATCCCTTCAAAAAGGTATAGAGTATTTAAGGCACACACTCATCATTAATTCAATTGCTTGTAAACTTGTTCTACATCAGATAGTCTAACTAAATCTATATAATCATACAAAACGACCCATACCATGTAGATACATATTGTAACATGTACCGTGGCTCCATTAAACTTGACAGGTACAAGACAACTAAACCAATTTAAAATTGTTTCCAACCAAGAATAAAACCAGTATTTTACAGATGTAGAAATATTAATATAATAAAGCAGTACTGACCTGGACGACGACGTATGGTTTGCTGCTTGGTTCGCATGGGTCTCCAGGTAGGATCTGCCAGTGGTCGAACACGCACTGCGGGAAGGCTTGCCCGCCGGTGTTGGAGCGGAGGTCAGCGGTGAAGCCGAACGACTCGTTGACGGGTAGGTATGCCTTCACTACGAACATAGGCGTGCCGGCGACTTGCGACTCCTCGAACACGTGACCTCGCCGTCTGTTCAGCACTCCGTAGATACCACCGACTGCTACCTCAGGGCACTGGGCACACATTGCGTAATATTAATGAGTGGACGTCAGTTTTGCTGTTCATATTTTGTTTAAACAAACAAAACAGCACAGTACAAAATTTCAGCTAAATCAAGATAAAGTGTATTTTATGTATCTATTATATTCAAGTTAGATCCCTTAGGTAGAAAAAAAATCGAGGTTAAGTGATTTTTATGCTTTTTATACAAAATGACCTTGAGGTACAAAAATATTATGCAATAATTTTCAAACAATAAGGAAATAGCTTGTTAACGTTACAATTATGGTGATAACATACACGCATAATTATACAATAGAATCTAAATAGTAGTCTGGCGACTTTGCCAGTCTCGGTTCGCATTCATTCCAAACACGATTTTGGTTACATCATAGACAATTGTGTGTTATTCAAAGTCTATAATAAAATAACCATTTTATAGGCTGTGGTGACATGTCCAAATAATTGAGCTACATTCTGTGAAGTTTTTCACAATGCACAGATTAACATCAACAAAACATTATTGAACAACACATTTGCAATTAAATCACTCTGAAAATAATGCAGAAAAAATCAAAATCCCATGCATGTAGGATCGGCCGATGGTAGGGTTGTTACAGTTAAAAAAATTTTGTTAGTTCCCCTATTCAGGCAAGGAGTATGCGTGGGTGTCAATGCCAAAACAAAGAACTGTTACTCTGCCACGTCTCGGAAAGGCGGTACTATCGTGAACATGCTAGTCCGCTCAGGATAAAACGTGGGGGTCATGCGGGGTCACGCATATTATATTCACTCTCATGCTTTTTAATTTAATAATTGTATTTATAAGATCATTAAACATCTTAGAAACCTATTTTATTTGATTGATGTTTAATCCATTCCTTGATAACTATTTTATAATTGTGAAAGACAGTGTCAAAATAGGTTTGTAAGAAGTTTTAAATTATCATAAAAAGGGATTTTTAATCCCATTATACTAGTAGGATCTATCCGAATAATAAAATGCAAATTTCTACACTACAGTTAATGAAATTTGCAAAGATGGTATCAAAATGGTTATACAAATAAAAAAAAAATATCTATTAGAATCATTATTGTTGAAATTTTCTTTCAACAATTTTATGGTTGCAAAAACAGTAAACACACTATTAAAATTATGACGGGGTGGTTACACGCTCAGTTATCTGGTAAAATAAAAAGAGGAACTATTACATTTTTTGTTTCTAATGGATAAACTCAAACAGATTTTGAAAACAACAGAAATCGAAATTAACAGAAAGTAATAGTACTCAAAAAAAAAAAGAAACCATTACAATAAATGCACCCTCTTACATTATTAGCCAGAGTTAGTAATTACTTGGATAATATAATAAAATTTCAAATAAACAGACATTTCGTGTCTGTTTATTAGCATGTTGTTCATGCTATATTAGAAATTCTTTATTACAATAATAGTCTCGTCTGAAATTTGTGAGCATATAAAGATGTGAATTAACGACTGCAGTGGTATCTAAATCTTACGTTATTATTTCATTATTAATGAATAACAATTATAAAACATGTAATAGTGTTAAATGGATAAACTGAGCGTGTAGTTGTCGCTGATATTTTTTTAGTTAGACATACCTGGATCTCGCACAGGTACACTGGTTCCATGAGACGAGGCTGCGCTGTCAACAGACACGCGTAGAGACACCTCCTTGTGGTTGGGATGATCTGACCGCCACCTCTGTTGTCAATTTACATAATGTTATTGTTTTTTCTTTATACATCTACTATATATATATATATATAGTGGACTTTGTGTGAAACGTCAAACAAGATGTTACTACCATATTTTAAGCGGCAACCTCCGTATATGTACATTGATATATATGTATAATCGCTTGCGCATTGTGTGTTCATGAGTTTGTATGCTGTGGCTACACACCTTTGAAGAATTGGTAATAAATTTATACTCTGAACCTTCTTGTAGTCCGAGTCCATTATGGATAATTCGTAATGAATAATCCTTGGTATAATTACTACCCTATTACCTTTTGTTTACCATCAGAACATGAGAGTACACAATTCCATCATTGTCCAAACAAAAAATACTGTCATATATTAGAATATAAACATGAAACTAAATCTGGAAATATAACTATACCAGAATAATACCATAACTATTTCTACAAACCTGTGAATAGCGTCAGTGTGTAGCGTCACGTCATAAATGTTGAACCTGACACCTCTCAAATTCTCTTCAGCCATGACACCCTCCTTGGCCGCCCATTGGAAACCGGCGACGACAGAGTCCTTGATTTCATTGAGGTACTGCACTCCCTTGGAACAGTCAACCATGATGTTGGGGCCGGTGCCCTCGGGTCCGAAACACCAGATCTTACGGGCCTCGGTGACGTCATACTCGTATTTGTCGCTCAGGTAGCGGGCACGGGTCTTGAAGTCGTCGCGAGGGTTGACGCGTCCCTCGTCGATGTCCTCGGCGAGGCCGTCGGGCATGGGTTGCGCCTTCATGAACAGACGGTTGTGCTTGTTTGGCGACTTGGACAGACACATCTGATCGGACTCCTCGCTAACAGTCTCACGGTACGATACGACTGGATCAGACTTCTTGATTGGAATGCAGGCATGGTCCTCTTCCAAGTCCTATGGGAAAGTAAATTTTTGTAAAATTTGCAGGTGTTTAATAGACAGTTTAAATAAGTGTAGATTATAAAAAGTAAAGTATCTATATTTGGTAAAGGGTCACAAAATGTCAACATCTACAAACAATGAAACAATAGAAGGCACAAATCATATTATCCTTCTAAACATAAAATTCTAGTTATCTTCTATCTACAAGGGCCAGATGTCAATTTAACAATAAAGTTCCAATAACTTTAGGCTGTGATACTATATCCTTTGAAAAAAAAAAAATGGTTTGCACTTTTAGTCACCTTAAGACAGATTTCAAGATGCAACTCTCCTGCGCCGGCGACGATGTGCTCGCCAGACTCCTCGTTAATACACTGCACCATAGGATCGGACTTGGCCAACCGCTTCAGACCCTCCACCAGCTTGGGCAGGTCGGCGGGGTTCTTAGGCTCGACGGCGACACGCACGACGGGTGACACGCTGAATTTCATGACCTGAATAAGAGTAAAATGCATATAACTTAGCGTTTTAAATGCAATACAAATGTAAGATAATTTATATGCCTATAGAATGGTGTCTGTTCTGAGGCAGTACAAATATTTTTATATAAACATTCATTTCACTACAGGGTACAAACATGAGTATAATTGGTTACATCAGTATGGGTGCTTTCCATATATATCATGTATGTATATACAGTTGTCTAGTACTTATACACTACACAAGCTTTGCTTTGCTTGGGACCAGATTGGTTTGTGTGAGTTGTCCTGAGATATTATTAAATAAAAATTAATCTGATTTCATTGGTCATGGTCATGCCATGACATTGACATAATCTATTGGTTTGTTTTTTTTATTTTCTAATACTCTGTAGAGGGTTTTTAAAAAGAAGCAACAAAATTTAAGCACAATTTTAAATCTTAGTTAAATTTCGTTTGAGACTCTATTGGTATATATATATATATATATATATATATATATATATATATATATATATATATATATATATATATATATATATATTAGGTAGGTGTTCTGGATAAATTTGAATCGTAAATAAAACAGTTCATGCTGCTTCTGCTTCTTAATGCTTACCTTCATGTTGTGTGCGTTCTTGAAAGTGGTGATGGTTCCAGTCTTCACAAGAAACTGATCGACTCCGACCAGACCACAAATGTTGCCGGAAGGCACATCCTCAATAGCTTCCACGTAACGGCCCATCATGAGGATTGTACGCTGGATGGTCTTCTCATACAGATCCTAAGGGGAAATTAATACATATACATATACAGGAGTAATTGAAAGAACAATAAGTCGGCGCGAAATAGAACATTGAAAATTAAGAGACAATTATCTTGAATGACCTTTCTTAAAAACGTACATGTAACGTACATTTAGAATAGAAAACCTAACTAACCATCACAATATCATACGTATCCAAATACTGCAATTTCATATCAATATTTTTTTTATGGAAATATGCTGTTTACATGTGAAAGAAGAAATGAAATTTTGTAATTATTCAAGGAAAAATATTTCTTTTTTACAATATTACTTGTATTGTAGTGAAAATAAAAATGTATCGCCGACGCCGTAGCATGCAGTACTAGGACATAAGGATAGAGGTCCTGTGCAGCGTTTGGACGTCCGCGAGAGTATCATCTCCGTCCTGACAGCACCCGACACCGTCCGCGCGCGCGAGGCAGCTACGCCACCACGCGCGCTATGGTGCGGTACGGTAAGTACAGGACGGTATTCAAAATAGCAATAAAAAAGGCTAATGATATATGATCATTTCATTAGACCATCAACAAGTAACATTTGTGAATGAAAAATTACTGTAATACGTGCGCCTCAAAATGTAGCTTGTAATCCTAAATTCTAATTCAATATATCTGGCTTCTGTCATACGGTTAATGCTTGTTCAGAAACCGGGACTACACAGAAATACTGAAAGGATTGATAATGTCTTGCAAGTGTACCTATTGTATAAATAATATTGTAAGGATCCTTCTGAATTAAATAAAGATAATAGCTCTGCCTACCACGCACGCTACGGTGCGGCGAGGTATGTTACATGACGGTATTTCAATGGATTAATCTAATATAACATTACCATGGGAGGGATTGTTAATAATGCGAGCATATGACCCCATTGCTACAAATGTACCATGTCAAGTTGACCTACATGTGGTACCCTACCTTGGAAACCATCGTTATAAATTCCCGGTGAATTTGCCACGATGAGCTAACTGACCTGACATCGTTTTCATATTATCGTCTACTGTAACATTATACAATCATCCGTGGAAAAAATACTTCCTTTGTCTTTTACAGTTCCCAAAATCTTTACAGTGAAAAAAGGTATGTAAGAAAATTGGTGATATAATAACGTTGAAGAGTTAGTTTGGTCTAACCTGTTTAGGAACTGATGTGAATAAAAATATTTTAAATTATTTATCAAGGAAATTTAAGCTACATAACATCACGCTACGATCAATTTAATAGCAGCGGAGCATAAATAAGAAACGTAGACAAAGGTGTGCGGGTCAGCTACTTAGAACTTGCTTAAGTAAATATTATCAGCAGTTACCATGCCAAGCAAACGTCACTGTAGATTAATAAAGATTATAACTTAAAAATATGGATTACTTCATAATTTATATATGTACTATATATACATTTTTTATAAATTTGTAAGTATCTAATAGTCGTAATTATGTATAAGTATTTGCTTAGCAATAACAGTATGTCATAAATATGTCATTTAATTACAATAAAAATAGAGATATAACAATTTATATATTTCCAGTGTTTTTTAGTCATGAATAAAATGCATTAAACTCCTACATATTTATTTATTTGAATTGCATAAGTCGAATTATAATTCACAAGTATGAGATAATTAATTAATAAAATTTAATTAAGCTTAATATTTTTCTGCCAGCATTTTCAAAATAAATTAATAGAATAGGATAGGAAATCATTTATTCAAATAAACTTAATTTAAGCACTTTTGAATAGTCAACATTTTTTTTTAATAACAAAAGACACTTACCTCTTTCTTGCCAGGTTGGAAGTTAGGGCCCATGATGCGGGCCTTCTGTCCAGTGACTACTTTGCCGGAGAACACACGTCCGAAAGCGTAGAAACGACCCTTGTCCGATGTCGGCACCATCTTGCTCACGTACATCATCAGGGGCGCTTCAGGGTCGCAACCCTACACAATAATGTTTTTTAATTTATACAGATCATCGCCTGTTATGAAGTCAATCATCACTATAATGTGGTATGAACACAGAATGGGAAATACAATAACTACAGAGAAATGTGGATTTACTGAGGGGGGAAGGTGATTGTTAGTAATGTGGACTACTGTTGAACCTATAGCTAGCAACGCGGTTCTCCGTGGAAACCATCGTGACAAATTCCTTATGAATAAATATGTCATAATGGACTAACTGACCTGACCTCATGCTCATCTTATCATCCTCCACTGGTGCCCAGCCAGCGTAAACCGTTAGAGCAGGATTTTTTTTTATGTATGAATTTGGAATGGTGCACCCATTATTCCATTAACATCCATAAAACTGTATTGAAAGATGATGATGGTGATGTTGCAATGGTTTAGACATTTAGAAGAGATTGCTGATAAGAGAATGAGATTTATATATGGATCGGATTATCTGGTATTATATTATATCTGCTCACACCAATGGGTGATGTGTGACGATATAGTTTAAAAATTAAATCCAAATTAATATAAAAATTTACTTCATTTAATTCTAAAGGGTGTATCTCAACTTTAGTTGCAAAAAGATCAAAGGACCTTCTTACCAATCCGTGTTAAGAATATTATATTCGTCCTTGTCTGCCGCTGGTGTATAGCATCAAAATCTTTACCCAGTATCAATGGGACGAAATTATAATAACAATTTATTTTATTTCTAGCAAAAATATAATTTATTAAGTTTTATTGTTAATATTACAGTGCCCGTAAAAACTATATTTCAGTCCCTAGTGAGTTAAAAGTAACCTCTATGGTTTAACTAACAAAACTTTGTTTTTTACTATTAGAGAAGAAACAGATACTAAATGCAAATATTTTTGTGTATATATCCTATAAGTTATAAACTAACTACTATAACTAGAACATACCTTGATACCGATAGCGGCTTCGTCGTCATGTGGGCCCTCGTACAACATCTCCATACGGTACTTCTGGGCGACCACCGGTGATGGCAGATGGATGGCAATCATCTGAAGCAAAGCTTCACCAGCCGGCAGCCAGGTTCTCATCACCACCTGAACAACGACATGGAATTAATATTAATTAGTATTACAGTACTAGCGTTGCCCTCAGACTAAAGTGTTATCCTTCAGACATAAGTTGGCCTACAAGTTAATTTCTTTGGAGTAACATCTGCACTCGCCCCTATCGTTTGGTGAACTTGTAAAGGTCCACTTTGGCCAATAGCATTAGAATAGTCCGAAAAATACTGCATTCTTAATGAGTAAAAAAAACTAAAAATCAATTATAATACCAAAGAATTCAAATTATACAAATGAGTCTTCTTACCAACAGCCATAAACGGCAATACTATTGAACACTGTCATGTTATGTTATTAATAGTTTTTATTTGATCCCAATTTTAATCTGTTAATAGTGGGTACACTCGTCGATGTTTCAGGATATCCTTTCTTATACTTTTGTGAATGGAGCTTTATTTGCCTAATTCTGTAAGTACATGTATCTAACATTTATGGGGTCACAAACCATATTGGTTTCCAACCAATTCCAGAAAGAAACATCCTGTAAGTCCACTTTGACACCCAGAGACTTATGATAAGTAACCGGCAACACTTGGGACTGGATATGACCAAGATAAGTAAAATAAAAGAGAAATATTTATTTATGATTTTATACATTGAATTTTATCAATCGAGATTAATATTTCAAATTAAATTCTTCGATTCTAAATATGTTTGTTTCTTATTCGATAAATTCTGTTGGCACCTCGAACTTTGTATATTTTCCGTATTGAACCTAAGTCAATACAGAACGTGCTTGGAACGTCTACGTGTTGTATGACATTTATTTACTCATTTTAAAGTACACAATACAAAAGCTATTGGTAAAGGTAAGTACATTTGGCGGACTTATTTACATATAGTTATAACTATGTGTGCTCTTTACTTTCTTTTTATGATATCTAGAAGTGTCTATTTGTAGCTAATGGAAAACAAAGCTGCCTTACACCATCAGAAAATGTGCATGCAAGGTGACTCCAATATTCAATGAGTTATTTTTTTTATTGAGGGTTATGCGATATTGCCACGTGTTTAGACTTGTAACACTGCGAACATAGATCTATTGTGCCCCTCGCCCTTTTTTAAAGCTCGCTACCTAAACCAGTCGGGCACAAGAATTTATGGATATTCTTAGGAACGATGGATTTTATCTCCTCAGTATAGTGTACACTTTCCATGGGTTACAAATAGATTACATATGACAAACATACATTAGAGAACACACCAACCTTCAACAGAGCCTTTCCGTCCTTGTCGGCGTCTTCGTGCTTGAGTGTGACACCGATCTTCTTGAGGAGACCGTCGATCTCTTCCTTGCGGAAGTTCATGATCGCGTCGAACACCTTGTAAATGGGATCCAGCACGTACATGCAGAAGGAACGCTTGTTCTCATTGTCCTTCTGTTTGGCCCACTTCTTTGTTTTGGCATTGAAAAAGTTCTCTCCCCACAGTCTATATCACAAAATTTGATATCTTAATAATAAAAAAGTAAAACCTAATAAGGAAACATTTTCAGTTAAAAATTATAGTAAAATTAATATTATTTAAAAATTATAAATATATATATATGATTTTTTTTTGGGTTCATTATTGCGTATCTTTAGTAGGTAGTCCAGCGGAACAGTACACCGCTTTTCTTCCTAGCTCGATAAAGGTTTGTATTTATGAGTATGATTGTTTGTAATATTAATGCTTATTATATTTATATAAGGTGTTTTTTGCAATGGTTGGGACATGGAAGGGAAGTGAATGAGATTTATATATCAATATTATCTGGTATTATATATTATCTCTGCCTACTCCAATGTGTGACGATATAGTTCAAGTATTAAAATCCAAATTAATATAAAATATACATCATAAAATTCTAAGGGTGTATCTCAACTTAAGTTGCAAAAAGGTCATAGGACCCTCTTACCAATCCGTGTTAAGAATATTATATTCGTCCTTGTCTGCCGCTGGTGTATAGCATCAAAATCTTTACCCAGTATCAATGGGACGAAATTGCAATAAAAAATATTTTATTTCCAGCAAAAACATAACATTGATATAAGATTGCCTTACAATATGTCTAGTATCCATAACACAATACTCTGCTTAGCTTGGTGTAACTGTGTGAATGACTATTTAAATTATATTATTATTTAAACTACATTTCTAAAAATATTTAATATACAGATGACTTTGTTACAAAGGTCAAATATAAGGTTAAAACGTGTAACTCGAGAGGGTATACTCCGATGTAAGTTAACTTTCAAGTTAAAATGTTAAGTTACATGCAGTTGGAATTGGTTCAGTATATCGTTGTACATAATTTCATTTTCACAATAAGCGTATAATAGTTTGTACAACTGTTGACATTAACAAAATTACTGTCCCTATTGTTTTATTTGTTAATGTAAATACCTATTGTATATGTTTATCGGACTGTAATGGTAGCGCTATTTAAATTGATAACAATTTGAAGATACTGATAATCAGATATTTAATTGAAACGTAACATGAATTGTTAATATTACGGCAATAACCCGAATTACGCGATCGGCTATGTCATAAGTCGTCAAAATCTGGTGTAAATACATTTTGGTTACCATTAGACGTCACGAAAGAAGTTACGAATATTTGGAAGTCTTATGAAAATGTAAGATGTGTATGATAATTGAAGTCTATACAAAGATCATTAGCAGCTACAGAATGACAACTGTATTTAGTGAGTCTGACATAACGGAGTTTCGGCTGTCCCAGTTTTACCAGAAATTGCTCATAATAATAATAATAGCCGTGGAGAATCCACACGCCATTTAGTCCCAACTAAGCTGTGATTGTACTATGTTACTACACAATTGGTAGATATACGTAAATACATATACAATAGAAAACATCCAGAGCAATACGAACAATCATAGTCACGAATACAAATGTTCGCATCGTGCAAGAAATCGAACCCGCGATGGTCGGAAGTAAAGCGGTGTGCTAAACCACTGGACCAGGCCCTTAAGCAATTTGTCATCTTATACCTAATTAAAATTTTTGGATTTCATATTTATACAGTTGCAAATGGATGACAAAACTGTCTACTAATGAAACAATCAACTCGATAAATAGGACTTATCATTTGATGTTATTTAATCATAGAATATAAATTATTACATATCACTAATGTAATTCTGGTGTCAGTCAACATGCTGTGACATTTTGTTTTTATACAGGAACTAGCTAGTCGTCCCGGCTTCGCACGGGTGTCCATATATTATATACATAAACCTTCCTCTAGAATCACTATGTATTTTTTAAACCTTTTTTAAACCGCTTTAAAATCAGTTGCGCAGTTTTAAACAGCGACAACGGATTTATTTCATACTATGTAATAATCACTAACAGACCTCTGGCGCTGACTACTTTACTTTTTGATCTGTGTATCAAATTTAATTTGTTCTGTCTGTCCAGTACTTTGTGTTTTAGAGTAATAAACATCCAAAATTCCTTTTTTAGAAACTTTGCTTGTAATAATAGGATAAACATGCCCTGTTCTACCCTTACCTGTTCATGAGTTTGACCAGATCGATCTTGAATTTGTCTGCGTACATCTCGGAGAATTGTTTGAGGGTGAACGCCCATCCGTGCAGGCCAGAGCCGAAGCCCACTGAACCCTTGCTGGGGTCCACACGGACCTCACCTATTATCAGCAATCAACAAAATACCATAAAGAACATTGTTTCATTTTAATTCTTAAGCTTAAATCTACCAATAGCCATCGACTGGTGGATTGTGCTTTATTTGCCTAATTCCCTAAGTACATGTATCTAACATTTATGGGGTCACAAACCATATTGGTTTACAGCCAATTCCAGAAAGAAATATGCTGTACGTCCACTTTGACACCCAGAGACTTATGATAAGTAACCGGCAACACTTGGGACTGGGTATTACAAAGAAAAAAAAAAAGAAATATTTGTGATTTTACACATGGAAATTTATTTATCGGGATTAATATTTCATCTATTAAGTTATTCCATCCTAAATATGTACGTTTGTTCATAAAAAAACCCGTTTCCCGTTATCTAATGCACACTTGTGCTCATTCTAACACTCCATACTTCCATTAAATTTCATATGGTTTCAATCAGAATTCAATTTAATAGGAGATATGAAAAAAATGTTCCATTATTTTTTTTTATCTTCATTATACATTTCCAATATACACATACTTTTAGGTGTATTTAATATAAATATATAACAAGGCTAAAGGTATAACTATTGATTAAAACAAAAGTTTCAGTTCAATTCCAAGAAGTTGACAGCATTTTCTCCCGACCAATGAAAAACAAACACCAGCTGAGTGGGCCGCGACCTCAGTCTCGACCTAGTAGATACAAAAATCGATCGCACGGCTGCCACGTGTCTACACGATGCTACAGATAATATATAGATACAAAGGGTAATGGATAATGGAGCGATTCTAACTATTATAGAATACTTGTTTACATCATTTACAATCTTTTTAATACAGTTTTCCCTTTATTTGGGATCGACGCAGTATGAAGTCTTCTTTTTCATTCGTCGTTATATCTGCAAATACTTTCCTTGCATGCATAACATCATTCACACAATGCATACATTTTTTAGTTGCTCTTTCTGTCTTTACACATTCATATATATATAATATATACATTGTAATAAAATTAGTGGATTCTACAGAGGTTGTCCTCGGTAAATCTGTGGTATATTTATTTTTCAAACCTTCGAGCAACCCATTGAAATACAAATCAGTTCACTAGTTTTGGAGTCAGGTCAATAATATATGAATTACATAACTATATATGAAGTAATTACATTATTGTAATTAAATAACAATTATATAATAGTTAACCCTATTTATGTAATGTTTTTAACAATTATGATATTCTATATTAATAATTTAATATCAAATCTACAATGCTCACCCATGGGACCGCCGTCGTCATTGTAGGTGGCGATGATGACGTTGACGTTTTCAACAATACGCTGGAAGGTCTGGTACAGCTCCTCAGCCTCTAGCTGCAGCTCGAGCAGGGCGCGGTCCATCTTGTTCATGAACAGGATAGGCTTAATGCGCTCAGCGATGGCCTGACGCAGCACAGTCTCCGTTTGTACACACACACCTGGTAGAATGTTGTGAAAATGTAATGAAATGCACTTAGATGTACATATTATTATGTGGAATGTAATACTTGCTGAAGTTTTCTCAAGAGGCTACACACCATGGAATTTTTCTGGAAGGGTACAGTTTCTAAGGGTCAGCAATGCGCACATGATACCCCAGGTATTTTAGACATATATATATATAGTATGGTAACCATTTACCATTAGATGGGCCATATGTTAGTTTGCCAGTCATAGTATATAAAAAAATACAATGTGAGGTCAGTAGTAATTATTGTACAAACTAAACAGATCCTCAACTAATAATTATATTGAGACAAAGATTAAGTAAATTAATAGAAGAAAAGCTTATATAGAATGGAGCTGTATATAGTGATAATTTTTATGCCATATGTGTACAACACTCCAATGGACCATAGCAACACAGGTATTTCTTTAAAATACTAGTGCAGTAATAATAATAATCTATTATGCAAATCAGATTTACAATTTTTGTATAGTCCTGGCATCTGTACCTCCCATCAGTTGTAGCCAAAGCCAATTCCTTACCATCTTTTTATCATGGTGCCATTTAACAAGTAATATTATAATATACATATATATAAATTAAAATTAACTAATATATTTGCACTATACATTGAGTTTCATTTAATAACATCATTAAGATTTGGGGAAAATATAATATTTGTATTCATAAACAGTATACATACCATGTACTTGCATTATGCATTATTCCTGTAAATTATAAACTAACTTTTTTTATATAATTGCAATGGCAATCAAGCTGACAGTATACTACATGATAACTTCGTACTCCTGATACATTGCCATTTTGAGAACTAAGATGTTACCAGAAGCTATAACTTCACTGCCAAGTCATCTATAATAAAAACTAAACTAAACTACTTGCGTACAGAGGCACTCATGCAGGTGTTTCTCTCTCTTTAATCAATACTTGCCTGGAGAACAAATATTAATTATGCTGTAGGTAGGGAAGGTCTTTACCAGAGACACAGTCGACAACGACCAGGGCACCATCAGTTACACGGAGAGCAGCTGTGACCTCAGAGGAGAAGTCAACGTGACCAGGTGAGTCAATCAAATTGATTAAGAAACCCTTTTCATTCTTTTCACGCTGGTCAGGGTTTGTAATGAACACCAAATCTTTCTCTTCGAGCTCGAAGAACATAGAGATAGCTCTGGGGACAAATCACAGTAGGTTAAAGATCAGGTAATGTAGCTCATTTACTGTAAAGTAAGTAATTTGTGCAATCAGATGGCCGTTCTAAAAATCTTCAACAAATTTCAGATTTAATGGTAATGAACAATCATCATATGTTTAAGACACTGTATAGTCAACTTTTTAGGCTTTGAATCACAGTCATACAGACATACACATATTGGAGCACAAGAGAAAGGTGATGAGAATGAGGTGCTAGTGTACCATGTTAAGTTGACTTTCAATTCCACTGTGAAATTTAGACTAAATTAGTGACTAAGTGATATACAAGGATAGGAAAATTGATCTTTATATATATAGTATCTATAATAGCCTATCATCCCACTGTTGTTCCACCAGCATAGGGGTGCCATTGGAGTAGGCAAAAGCCCTTAATACATTGTTGTCCATTAAAAAATTACATTATGCATTGGTAGCCAAGAATTATTACATTTTGTAGACAAAAAGATATAATTCTTAATAAATGGGACAATTCAAAGATTTAATGGTCAAAAATGTATTAGGAATTTATATTTATTACAATTATAACATAAATATGGCACCTTATTACATTCTTGCATAATTATTGATAATTGAAAACAAAGATGGTAACAAACAATATTGTGCAATACCTTTTAACTAGAATGGTATAGAAAACTTTGTTAATATTTTAATATATATACTAGCTCTGAATAAAGGTGATTAACATTGATTTCTACATAGAAATTAACATGTGCAGATATGTCCATACTTTAATTAGTTATTGTATATAACCTATGCATGTGGTGTTTAATTTAAAATTGAAATACAAGGCAGTGATTAGTTAAGGGTATTATATTCTCAAATATATTTTAATCAAAGTAATATCAATTTCAATTTCTTAAGATATTTGTATATTATTGATATCATATTTCAGCATTAGCTTAGAAATAATATAATGAGTTCACTTTATTTCACTGTATTTATGACTTTAAACAGGAACAAATAAAGTTTATAATGTACTACCCCCTCTGGGTGGTGGAGGGGTAGAAAGGTTATTGCACCATGTGGTTACTTACGTCGACTTGATGGTGATGCATCTGTCCTGCTCGTCTTTTCGGGTATCCGTGAAACGGGTCTCTCCGGCTCTGGCACCGGCAATAATACCGGCCTTGGACACAAGCGAATCTGTTAATGTTGATTTTCCGTGGTCGACGTGGGCGATCACAGACATGTTGCGGATGTTCCGCTTCTTGTCCATCATGGAACGGATCTCGTCCACGGTAAAATTCACCTGCATAAACCAGAAAAGATCTCGTTAACATATTTCACAACAAAACACAGATGGTCCAACACTTGTCAAACGCACATTTTATAACATATCTTTCCATTGTAACAACGTTTTCATCTGTTTTAAAGATAACCGGTGTATACTGCAGTGAACCAGATATTTCACAGCAACACTTGAAAAACGTCACCCGACGACAAAGACTACGGCAAGGGATACGTGAATACTTTAGCTTCAGAATAGGGAATACTTAAAATATTGACGCAAAACTATAGCACAGTAGCACCGCATCACTTTTCTGGACACTGATAGAATGTTAAATACTTACCATATTGGATGGTTTTTGATTTTTGTTTCAATAAAATAAACTACCATACGCCAGCAATGGCGTACGCTTGAAAAAGGACCCTTTTCGTGGGCCGGATATGCCAGGCAGCTGTCAAATACGTTTCAACCATAGACAACTTTCTTTGAAATACGTTCTACGGCCCTGGATGATCTTGTCGACACAGAGTCGATTTTAGTATTAGACCCTTCTATCTAACTGAAAAAAAGGAAGAAAAACCCTACAATAAATTGTCCTTTATTGCATTAATAAAATTATAGAACCGTAATAAATTCACATGACTAAAAAAATGCAATACAAAAATAAATGTTAAATTACTCACACACTATGCGTCACACTTGCAAGAAAATATTGACAGTTCATTAACTAACAAGTTCAAATTGTGTTAATTTGTTTGTTTCATAAAATAAATGTAAATAACAGTTATAAAACATTTATTACATGTAGTACATGTAGTGCTCATTGAAAGAGATAAATCCTTACGTAGTGTTGTCTCTATCTAAACAGTGACTAAACCATAGAGTTAGTTGAAGTATTTGTTTATGTCTCATCTCATCGTTAAGGTTTAATATCTTAAAATAAAACAAAAAAAAACTATTAAACACGTATTCATTCCTATTTGTGCTCTAGTTATTATATTTACCCAGTCAATAATATTCTAAGGATAATTATTACTGTTGTAGAATTACAGTCTATCTGATAATACAAAACAATAGTGAATAGGTTTCTATTAACGGTATTGGTCTATTGTGGGACTTGTTCTGCTAATTATTTGAAACTAATGATTCAATTATAATTTCTTATGTTCCCGTGCTCCGTTTTATTTCTATTTTACACACGACAATAGTATTTCTTTTATTTTGGTGATACATTTTTGAAGTTACGAAGTTTATTCGTCTTTATCTGAGAACATATACCCGTCATATTAATAGTTCTGCTCTAAAGGCACAGATGGCAGTATTGGTAACAAAATTGTAATTTATATTTAAAAAAGTAATAGCACAGATAATATAATATTACATAGTAATAGCTAAAATATTACTTGATAGTACCTACAACTAGTTTATTCATTACTATTTTTCAGTAAATCTAAATACCTATTAATCAATGTTTATTAGGTTTTTGGTACTAGTTTGTTTTATTATTAATATTTAATAATAGTTTGGTAATTGGTAGTCACTTTTACCGTTTTTTTAGCGTACAATGTATTGCTAATAATTTTATCACTAGTTTCAACAATCCCATATTCCGAAGAGGACAGCGTTTGCAGCGGTGGCTTCTGACATTATTCTGCAACGCGTTTTGTACAGTACCTACTCTATAAATACAAATATAGTCTGTGGATACCCACCGTTAACGCAGGTGCCTTCATTATTTCCAAAGAGTAGAGTAAATATACCAAAAGGATTTATTTCATATTGTACTTGTATAATTTATAAACCGTTGATTATGCAACGTTTGTATATGTACACAGACCAAGTTCTACTATAACTGTCACACACTTCAGAGAAATTTGTATTGATTATATTTGCTTTGATTTACTAAAATGTAATTTTATATATAGTGCTAAAAGACTGTAATTTGTCGGAAAATGAGCTATATATATAGTTATGAATTAAATGACACTTTAAAAGTTTGATATAATAATAATTACGTTTTAAAATCCAATCTGTCTTTTAAAGCCAATTCCGGATTCTAATTTATGCATAAAGAATGGTAATGCAAGAAGTTTGCCGGGGACGGCACTGTATTTGTAAATATACTGTGACATTTGCAGGTGCTGATAGAGTAGTCATGTGACTGACACGGAACTTCCGCACCCTGTTAGGGGGATGAAGTAAATGATGTGTGATGAATAGTGATGACTGACAAATATTGTTTACAGGCAACTGCGAGCATTTTACGTCTAGTTGTTTGTCACCCAGTTAAAAGTTTAGATAATTTCGATAATCAATAACAGAGTTGACAAGTCGAGTGTTGTCTTCCCGCTTGTGTATCATTGGACGTTGAACTTTTTTGTTTATATTTGTATGTATGGCGTTGGCAATAATATTTCGAGAGTACCGAGATGTGTTGGCACTTTGGCGAGCGAGGTCGGGTTTTTGGCGGCGTGCAGAAATCATTCCGAGAAATCGTACTAATTAAGTAACGACGAGTGAAACTGACAACTAGTATAATTATTTTTTAATTAAATCTATCGATTTATAAACATTATATAATTTATCTAATTTAAAAAAAAGACAAGTAAAAGCTGCATTGCTTATTATAGTCATGCCTAACCGTTAAAATTTTAAGTACTATGGATGTGAAAGTTTCTGAATATGTTTGGTTATTTGTTAGATACTCAATAACGATTAGAATAATATAAATGAAATTTGGTATGTAGATAGATTATATGCCAGATTAACAAGAGCATTGATCTTGCCTGTGATCTATGTTACATACGCATGGTGTATTTTTGAACACAACGGAGCAACGACGGAAAATAAATACTAGTAAAAATGCTATTCGTATTTGAGGAGTGATGTTATAGGTATGAAATAATAACAAAAAGTAGCTACTCAACTGGACCGTAGGGATAGTGATAAAAATATGAAGTGCCCAAGAGGCCGTTACTATGGTAATAAATTATTTTGAAGTTTAATACTAGGTAATGTCTAGAATTATATATCGTAGCATAAGACACCAGAAACCCGTAAGTAATCTCGAGTATTAGGTAACTGCAATCTGCTTAATATTATACTATTAGACTGATCATAGAAACTTTCGCAGTTCCGCCACTACTTATCGAACTGACCCGGACTTTACTTTACTTACAGCCGTATATTTAGAGTAGGTAAATATTTACTTATCTTTCATATCGATACAAAATACGTACAATGATAATATAAAATTTGTTAAGGGGCAAGCAAGGGCAAGCGTACGATTAGGGTAGGCTAGAGGGTGGACGTAGGGTCATCAATCCTCGGTAGATACATAATACATTTTATCTATTTTACTTACTACACATTTAACTTTCTATATGTGAAATTTGTTAAATAATATTTCATCTAGCATACAAAAAAATCTAGAATCTTATTTTTTTCTTTATTGTTTAATATAGTTATGTAATATTATCTTATCTGTGGTATAGTATAGATCACAGGTAATATAATATTACATAGTATAGATGATCGAATTTTTCGTGTCTATGATTCAGGTGTCAAATGGGTAATTTGTTATAATTGTCATTGGTGTCATTGTATATTGTTGTATATCTACAGGTCTATAAATACCTAATAATTTAACAAATATTAATTGTAGATAGATCTTACATTGTGTCTTTAAGTAAGAATAAAATAGGGTTTTTAATTTTCTTAGTATGGGATTTTAATAAAATATTAATATAATGTGGACAAGTAATATAATGTAATGCGTAGGAACGAGGATAATATTTTATGAAAGGTGTTACATATGAATGTGGATGGTTATAAGGGCAGAGGAAGGCCGAAAAAGAGATGGATGGACTGTGTGAAAGATGATATGGTAAGAAAGGAAGTAAATAACGAGATGACTGTGAACAGGGATGAATGGAAGCGAAAAACATATTACGCCGACTCCAAATAAATGGGATAAGGAAGAAGCAGATGATGATGATGATGATGAATGTGGACAAGTAACATAATTTTTGGAGTTTCTTAAATTGTATTATCTCTGAATCAGTTATACATATATACAATTATTAATTTTTTAATACTCGTCTTTCCCGTGATGAGTCTGCTTTCCGAATGAGAGAAAGAAAAAAAAAGTAAATACATATGACTATTCAAAACTTTTTATATTATGTTTGCTATGTATGTATAATCATCAAAACCGTAGTTTATCAATTAGCTTTCTTTTTAGTTTAGTCATCAGGAGTTAGGCTTATCGTTTAATAAGTCTAATAAAATATTTGTCGTTTGTCAGTAGAATGAGAATGTATACAAACCAGTCCAGGGTAAAAACTAGCAAAAAACATACGTCGTCGCCAGGCTTCATGATTCATCCTGCTAAAAGCAGTGCCGATGAGCCGGTGAGCAATACATTGGTGGACATTTTAGTAGATATAACTAATTATTATACAGTACATCTGTTTACAACATAATATCCCTGTGCTTAATATTATTTTTATTAACTTGGATTTATTGATTGTATTTGGAATGGGTGAAATAAACGTTTCATAGCTACTTTGAGATAACAATTTAATCTACTTATATTCATAACGTTTATAACGCTATCTTACGCTATTTTTATATTCACCTGTCAGTCTTTCACATGTGTGAAAATGTTCTTGAAAGACTTACATTCTTTAGAAGAGATGTTATTATATCTATGCAGCTTGCTTTAAGCTGTTCTGGTGTGAAACTAAAAAGTAAATAGGGTGACATAACTATTTAATTCAAGGAAGTGGGAACACATGGAAAACATAACATGTGTTACAATCTTTATGTACCTATTAATACGTGAAGCAAAAACTTTATATCACTTTTTACGACCATTGCGCAGAAGGCAGAGTATCATATTATATTTCGCACACTTGTAGTTTATATAAAAAACTGTGTAGAATTCGAATACTTTTTTTATTATGCATATGAAATACTTATATCAATAAATACATACATTACATGCAGTACCATGTCTTTGACACACACGTATATATAGTCTTTTGTTTGTTGTTAAAGTCTGTGGTCAAATTGAGAATAGATTAATATTGTATATTTTTAATGTTATTTGTCTAAACTGAATATTAAATTAATTGTATTCGAATTTAGACCACTGGGCCATGACTAGTAGTAAAAATAATCAATAATAATCCACAAAGCGACATCTAGACCGAAGCTAAACAGAGCTTGTGTTATGGGTACTAGACAAATGATACAAATACTTAGTAAAAGTACGTACATATGTTATCTGTGGTAGAGGTATGTAATATTATTTTGTCTGTGTTATTAGCCACGATTCTATCAAAAATAAAAAAGGGTTGAAGTTAGGTACCTACTACATTGCAGTGACAACCCTGCGAGGTCTCGTATAGCCTATGCTCTGGGGAAACATCAAGGTCATGGTTTATG